GACCCTGAACACCGCCGACGATTACGCTGAGGATTTGCAGACACACGAAGAAAATGTATGACGCTTGCAATTCCACTTTCTCGTCCACTATATCCTTCAGGGGTTGATGCATTACCCCCACAATAATGCCAAAATGTCCCCGAGAGGCGCCCCAAGCAGCCCCACCAGGCGCCAAGAGGCTCCCATGGCGCTCGAAGGGGCACCCTCGGTGCCTCAAAACGGCCCCCAAGAGCTTCCGAAGAGCCCCAAGGAGGCGCGGCAGAAGCCATTTGGACAAACATTCTAGCAAACATCGGAGTTGTTGTTGTTGTTCTGAGCTCGACGCCCGCAGACCGCCCCCAAGCGGCCCCATTGACCCCCAGGCCTCCCGGATGCCCAGGGGTTCTGGGAGCGCAAACCCAGCGTAATTTAAGAGGGATCGCGGCTTTGGGAGCGCGGACGCCGCGTCCGTAGCCATTTTGGCTCAAGATTTGGCGGGCGCTGTATCTTGTTACGGGGCGCTCGGTCGAGCGCCAAACGCGCCTTTTCTGTGCCGCGCGTCCTCGGAAGGCCATGGGGCGTGGCGGGCGATGCGGCCCGACCGTGCGCCGCGGCGCTGCCATCGCCACCGTCGCCTCTGTGCGCGAGGCCGCGGAGCTCATGCTGATGCTGCAGGCGGCGAGCGCGACAGCCGCCCCGCCGCCAGGCAGCGGCGCTGGGCCCGTTAAGTTGAGACGGCGGCTCCTGGGCGGCCGGCGATGGGCGAGCGTGCCCAGCGGTTGCTGGGCCTTGCTTCGGAGCTGGTTGCGCTCACAGGCGAGGCCGCCCTGGCTAAGGGACTGGCCAAGCAACGCGACGCGGGGCGCACAGCCTTGTCGCACCTCGAGCGAGCATAGCGGGAGCTCGATGCTGCCAGCAGCCTCTTGCGCCACCCTGGTGCGGGGGAGAAGGCGCTGGCTGAGGCGTGCCGCTGGTTCGCTTGCGGCAGCAACGCAAGCCACAAACGCAAGCAGATCGAGGTGGTGGAGAGCGAGGCCGCGGAGACGGTGCCCGACGACCACTTCGGCGCGGGCTCTGTGATGGGCTACGAGCGCTACCGCGCCGGATCCGACACGGAAGGCCCGCCCGAGGACGAGCACATGCAGCAGCAGGAGTTTGGGCAGCACCAGACCGACGAGCTGAAGAGCATCGCCGTCGACGCGCAGCTTCAGGACGACCGCGAGAGCGCGATCGAGGACTAGATCGGCGAGCGCGCGGGGTGGACCGCCGAGGAGCCGTCCGTGGAGCAGGCGGACTGCGAGAAGATCGAGGAGGCCTCTACGAGGCTCAGGTGGGGAGCCACGATGGGGTCGAGATCGACGCTGACCCTGAGGCCCAGGAGTACAGCGACGCGCTGGAGGACAATACCAAAGAGCTCACGCAAGAGCTCCGCACCACCGTGGCTCAAAAGGAGTATGTATTCAGACGGCGAACGCGTCGACGCAGAACGCGTTCACCACTGACCTCATGCACGAGCTCAGCACGAGGACGACGGCCCAAAAGCAGACTGACTTCGAGAACATCGACGTGTCGCGCATCGGTACGCTGCAGGCCGAGTGTGCGAAGGAGCGCGAGGAGCAATACCTTCTCCGCCAGCAGGCGTTGGAGATCGGGCAGCAGATCCGCGACCTGGAGTCGGTGTGGCCGCCGACGACTGCAGTCGCCAAGAGCAAGGCCGCGCGGAGGCGCAAGGGGCGCCAGCGTTAGCCTTGTCACCAATGTAGCCCTCTAACATGGGGGGGGCCCTCTCTTTTCGACTCTCTCGCCCTTGTCCTCGCCGACGCGCGGCGCGGGAGTGGCTTCGGTGGTCTCCCCCTTTTCAGGGGGGTCACAGCCAAGCTGGCGCCCCGTGCGGGCGCCCCTGGTGATGCCGCGCACCGCTGACTCGAGTGCGCCCTGTGCGCTCATGTAGTCAAACCTCGCTCGGTGGTGACAGGCGCCACGGCGAGTTCAGATAGCTTTCTGCTCCGTGGTCGCCCCTCGGCCGCGCATGCAACGGGCACAAAAAGAGCGCAGACGCCGCATAATTCACAAGGTTTCCTGGTCCGGGGAGCGCGGATGCTGCGTACTTTGCGAGGGATCGTGGCCTTGGGAGCGCAAGCCCAGTGTAATTTACGAGGGATCGCGGCCTTGGGAGCGCAATTCCAGCGTCATTTGCGTAGGGTCCTGGCCCTGGGAGTGCGGACGCCGTCTAATTCAGGGATCATGCCACTGAGTGTGCGGGCGCCGTGTAATTTACAAGGGGTCGCGGCCTTGGACGCCGCGCAATTTACGAGGGGTCGTGACCCTGGGGGCGCGGATGCCGTATAATTCAGAATTTGTGGAGGACGTCTCGAGCGAAGCGGCTGTTTTGTGTTATTGTTTGCTCTTTTTCCTGGGGACCAGAATTCAGAGGATGCTTCAGGCGAAAAGATTATCTTCACGTGCCCAGATCTTGAGGATGTCTCAAGCCAGGTGTTTGGTTTCACGCGTCCAGGCTGGCCAGGCATATGTCTAATATGAGGATGTGCTGAGGGTGTCTTGAGCGAAGCGCTTGTTTTCACGTGCCCAGGTCGCCCAGGCAGATGTCTAACATGAGGAAGTGTTGAGAACTTGTCGAGCGAGACGCTTGTTTTTCACGTGTCCAGGTTGCCCAGGCGGATGTCTAACATAAGGATGTGTTGAGAATGTCTCGAGCGATGCGTTTGGTTTCACGCGTCCAGGTTGCCCAGGCAGATGTCTAGTGTGAGGATGTGTTGAGGAGGTCTCGAGCGAGACGCTTGGTTTCAAGTGTCAAGGTTGCCCACGCAGATGTCTACTATGAGGATGCATCGAGGATGTGTTTAGCGATACGTTTGTTTTCACGTGTCCAGGTCGCCCACGCGGATGTCTAACTTTATGATTTGGGCAGGATTTCTCGAGCGAAACGCTTGCCCCCAACGTTCCGTAGCTCGTCCCCTTGGCACGTCCCGCGGCGTATCCCCATGCCACTTCCCCAAGCGAACCCCAAGAGAGGGTCCAGAGAGTTGCTGTCGGGCGCTCTCTTCGGGGGTGGGGCTCCAACAATGCCTTCGAGACCCTGCCGGACGCCTTCTTGACGCTCCGAAGACGCCTCCTGGCACCCCCGAGCGGTCCTGAAGCGGGCGAAAACGCCCCGAGATGGCCCCGTCCTCCACGAAGACGGGGGGGGCCCTCCCGCTCCGCTTGAGTGGCCGCAGCCGCCTGCAGTCGCTCTGCCCCGGCCCGCTCCATGGCCCCGCCCCCCTCCGCGGGCCGCCCCTGGCCCGGCGGCCCCCGCAGACCCGCGCGCGCAGGGTGCCGCGATGGCCAGTCCGGCCGGGGTTGCGGCGGGCCTTGGCGAGGGAAGCGCGGTGCCGAGAACGCTGCGGCACGGCGCCGGCAGCGGCGCGAAGCGCGTTGACCAGCAGAGCCTCTTCGCGATGGTGCTCTGCGACAGCCTCCTGACCAGCCACAAGCGCTTCGGGATCAAGGCCCACCAGCTCGAGGACGACGGGGCCCGCATGCGGGCATGCCTCTGCATCGCCAGCGGCGGTGCGCTGATCATGCCTGGCGGGGGTCGCCGCCACGACTCCGCCATAGGGCTGGCCGTCCGCGCGCTCGACGGCGGGGACGCGGCCTCTCATCGGCAGCGCGCTCTGGACCCGGTGGTGCGCATCGTGGTCCTGCGTGCCGAGATGAGCACGTCGATGTGCCGCGGGGGCAACGAGCAGTTCCCTCGGGTGGTGCAGGACCGGGCCAGGTCGCCGCTGGTCTCGGCTGCGGAGACGCGCTGGACCATCTGTGACTTGGAGGACGTCGTGCAGCAGCGACCTGGCAGGAGGCGGCTGCCAGAGCTCGAGCCGTGCCCGCTGCGGCACCCCAAAGGCATCTATGGGGACCCAGGCGACGCGCTGCACTTCCGGGGGGACATCGCGGTGGCCGCTGGAGACGAGCTGCTGAAGGCCGTCCGGCGGACGGCCTTGGCGCGTTACGGGGCAGACCTGGACCCGGGCAGCTCTCTGCTCTTGGTGCTGGCGGCCGGCTGGAACGCCGACGGCGGCGCGTTCCGCGCGGTCGACGAGCAGGGCCACGCTTGGCGGAAGGCCGAGATCGTCTCCACCGAGGAGCTCTGCGCGCTGAACGGGCACCGCCTCTCGGCGCTGCTGGAAAAGATGCGCGAGCTCCTCCGGCGCGCTGACGGCAGCCACGCGGGCTTCGTGAGGCAGCCGATCGGCGCTGTCAGCTCGGGCCGGACGAAAGGGTGGGATAGGGAAAGGGGGGGCTTCGAAATCTGCTGCATGCAGCCAATTTCGGCCCCGCCGCCGGGCCCATTCCTCGATACATGGCCGCCTTCGGCGCTGGGAGGTGCCGGGAAAATCAGCTACGTGAGCTTATTCTCAAACCCCGCTTTTTCGGCGGCGGCGATAGGGGCGAATAGCCCAGGGGCGGGCATTACACGTATTCGCCCGGGAGCCTCTTCGAAGCCACAAATCATCGGCGCACCGGAATACGTGTATTGCCCTCCCTTGGGCTATTCGCCCCTATCGTCGCCTCCGACCTTTGCTATCCCCGACTCCTGTGCGGGAGGCTCCTCCTGCGCGGCGGCGGCCGGCGGCCTCCTCTTCGTCGTAGTATCATGGTTTTCATCTGTCTTAGAACGAGTCTCCTTCTTTGAAGTATTTGCCTCCCCTGGGCTGGTCTCCCCTATCGTCGCCCCTTTCGCCCGGCCCGATCGGCGCGCTGCCCGCCGAGCGGCGCGCCCCGCCGCGCCGCGGCGGCGCCCTGCGCCTGGAGGCGCGCGGGGTTGCCGCGTCTGCCCCGTACGGCGCCGCCCCCGCCGCGCGGGGGCGGGGCGTCCCCTCGCCGCAGCAGCAGGCTCGGGAGGGGAGAAACACACGCAGGCACAGTGAATCGTCGATTCCCCAGGGAATAAGGGAAATGTATGGGAAGCGGGGGGACGACAGAAACCCAGAAAATATGGGGAAACCTTGTTATATGAATAGGGGGAATCCTGTTGTGTCTGTTTGTTTGTGTGCCCCAGGGCCCCTTCACATTTGTCAGAAGCGGGCCCCCGGAAGAGTGCCAGCTGAGACAACGGTAGTTGGCCTTCGGGGGGCTCCTTCGTCGCCACGGCTGGATGCAGTTCGGAATGCTGGTGCGCTTATGCCCTGGAGGGGATCCAGGGGCCGATTTTGAGCTGCCGTCGTCTCAACTTGCCCTGCTCCCACCACTTGCGCAACGGAAAAAAAACGGGGTCGACTGCGCCGACATTCGCCTCCACGCGGTGTGCCACGCTGATGGCCCGCGTAAGGCTTGACGTCAGGTCGCTAATTACGTCGATTCAGGTAAGAACCGATTCCTTTCGTAGCTTGTTTGGAAGCTTCACCCCTTCGGGTCAACTCGGCGCTGGGGTATCGAACACCCCTGCAGAGGTAGGCTTGGCTGCAGACATCCTTCGAATGCTGATCCCCCGCCGGGGTTTCAGGAACCTGACCCGCAGGGGCGTGGCTCATGTGTTTGTCGACCTGAGATCTGACGTCGTGAAAAAACACGGCGCCCTCAATTTGTGACGACCAGAGCGGTTGACCATGTCTTTTTGCATGGTTTTCCCCAGCCGGATTGATCCGCGAGGATCACGCGGCCCGCAGTGCTGCGAGACCACCCGTCGTGATTTTTCCACGACGCTCGGATGTGATGTCCAGGTTTCCAGACTCGACAAGGAGGCGGCCGCCTTCTTGGCAGAGATGATGGTCCTCCCCATGGAGGTCGCCACGACGACGACGTCGACGACGTCGACGAGGATGATGATGCTGATGATGATGCTGCTGATGATGATGATGGTGATGCTGATGATGATGATCCTGATGAACTTTATAGGTAGCTGGTCTGAAATAGAAAGTCATGCTACAATCGCGATACGTGGCCGTATCTGCTCAAGCGATGCGTTACCAATACGTTAGTCGAAACGCCGCTTCGTCCTGTTCGCGTTGTCAGGGACGAGTAGCTATCTTATCTCTGACATCCCTCATCCCGTTCCCATCTACATTCCAGATGCATGGATACTTATGTGTCACTTGGTAGCGGAACTGGCCTGACCATCGTGTGGTTGGTTCTAGCTATGATGCCCACTCTCAAAGGTACCATTTGAATATCCGATGCCTATTACCCTTCGCCCGCTACTTCCCACCTTCGATCTACATCAAAACTATACAGCTGTCTGCAGCAAGTCCCGCCACCGTGCGAGCCCAACATTCTCGGTGGCGTTTGTTCACAGGGCACAGGAGGCCGTCGCTTGCGGCACCTCGTGCCAATAGGCTTGGGAGAGCCGTGATGAGGACGACGATGACGGTGATACTGTTGTTGTTGATGATGACGATGCTGATGATGGTGATGATGTTAAGTTGATGATTCTGGGTTTTTTGTGAGCATGATGATGGTGATCATGATAATTATGTTGACGATGATGCTGCTGTTGCTGCTGATGATGATGATGATGAGCAGGATGTTGATGACGACGACAACGACGACAATGATATGATGGTGTTGCTGCTGATGATGTTGATGATGATAATGCTGCTGATGATGATGAAGAATGTGAATAACAACATGACGTTGATGATGAGGATCGTGGTGATGGTAGTGATCATGATGATGTTATAAAGGTGACGATGACGACGACGATGACGATGGCGATGAGGATGATGATGAAGATGATGAAGATGATGAGGATGATGACGATGATGATGATTATGATGATGATGGTGATGATGATGATGGTGATGATGATGGTGGTGGTGGTGATGATGGTGGTGGTGGTAGTGGTGATGATGTTGATGATGATGGTGGTGATGATGATGGTGATGATGATAATGATGATGATGACGATGATGATGATGATGATGATGATGATGATGATGATGATGATGATGATGATGATGATGATGATGACGTGGGGCTTATCCAGCCTGAGGATTCTTCGGGGCTGTACGTACAGGGTTCTTCCGGACTACATGGCATCTTTCTGGATCCCGTTGAATTCTGTAGGATTCCGCATGATTCCTAAGGATTCCTTAGGAGTCGTCTCCAAGGAGCCCCACTGCATAAGCAACACAGGAATATGTTTGCATCCATACGCGAGTCTTCATGATTCCTCACGATCCCTCTGGGTCCTGCCGGGCTCCTTAGGATTCCATCGCGTGCTTTAGGAGTCCTTAGGACTCCTGAGGATTTTTCCGGATTCCTTCGTGTTTCGTAAGGTCCCTCAGGATCTTCAGGACTTCGACTTCAGAATTCCTTAGGATTTCGATGTGTTTTTTCGGGCCTTCGACCAGTGCCAGCGGCCCGTGGGAACCGCGCTGATGTTGCGCGCCGCGCGATGTGTCTCCCGCGCAGGTACGCGCTGGCAGCAGACGCGACCGACCAGCTCGATTTCTCGTCGACTATGGCACACATGCAAGTGTGTCTCTTGGCGCGCGCCCCGACGTGGCTTCGCGTTTCGCGCGGCGTCGCCCGCTTGCCGGTCTCCGCGCGCGCAGACGTGGTTGAAGAATCGTGAACCGCACTTGGGGATCGTTCTCGCAGGCCTAGAGATTGACACCAACACCAATATCGGCGGTGTGCATCCACCGAGGGAGGAGGATCCCGATCTCGGTGATGGTGGTAATATTCTGGCTCCAAGGTGGCCGAAATATTGCCACCAACACCCAAATCGAGGATCGTCTTCCCCCTGTGGAGGCAACCCCTTGTGCCCATTTCTAGGCCTCCAACGTTCATGACCAGGTGTGTCGTCGCATGTGGGCAGACAAGGCGGCTGCGGGCGTCGCTGGCTTCGAGGTTCGTTTCCCGCGCATTTCGCTTCTGTCCTGCGCTGGCGACGCGCCGCGGCCCGCTGCTGCGGCAGGGGAACGTGGCTGCCGCGGTGCTCGACGAGACACTTCTGCGGCAGGCAGAACACGAGTACGACTGCGATGAGCTCGCCGCGCGGGTCGGGGGCCACATGCGAACCCTACCCCTACCCCCCACGATTTCTGAGGGGGAGGGTGGGGTTCACTGCGCTCGGGAGCTCGCGAACGAAGTGAACCCCACCCTCCCCCTGCGAAATCGTGGGGTGTAGGGGTAGGCTTCGCATGTTGCCCCCGAGCGGGTCACCTCCGCTGCGCCCCCGTCGGAGGGTGCCGAGGCAGCGCGGGCCTCGACCGCGTCGAGACGCCGCGCGGATCCGCGCGTTGCCCCAGCGGGCCCCCGCAGGGTCGGGGCCGCGGCTCTGGCCTGGCCTCCGGGAGAGGGGCGTCCAAAGGCCCCCTTAGAACCATCTTGAGCCGTCTTGGACGCTCGGGCCGCTCGCGGAGCGCCCCCTCCAGACGAAGGGGTAGAGATTGGCTCGCCCCCGCCATCCTCCCGAACGCATAGTGGCACCACTCGGAGTCTCATCGCGTTCAGCGGTCGTTTTTGGATGGGCAGCCATTGGGGAATAATGCAGGCTCCAGGTGCGCGACGCTGGGGCGAGGCGCGCCGCGCGCGCCGCTCTCGCCGCGCGCGCCGGGCGCCCCTGGGCCCAGGACGTGCTGGGAACGCCTGGTGCGCCAGGTGCCCCGCGTGCTCCGCGCGCGCCGCGTGCGCCGCATGCTCCGCCGCGCCAGGTGCGCCGCGTTCGGAGCGCGCGCAGAGCGTGCCAGGTGCGCCGGGGCATGTCGGTAGACCTGTCGGCCCCCACCATCTTTGGCGGAGGCCGCTGCACAATCGCGGCGGCGTGGCCACAGTGATGTTTCGGCCGGCCAGCGCGCGGCAGGTAATGTGCCGGCGCCCCCGCCGCCCCAGTCGAGAGCAAGTTCGACGCGATCGCGGGGCGCCCGCTTGCGATCCAGACTTGGCCGCGACGCGCAGCAAGTGGGCCCGGCTGCCCGCGGCAAGGCCCGCCGCCGCGCCCAGGTCGTGGGCGCGAAGCTTCGTTTGGATGTCGCGGGGGGCCTGTCGGGGCCCGTCTGGGGGCAGTTCTGCGCATTCTTGGGTTATTTTTGGGCCTCTCGGGGCTTCGTTTGGTTTTTGATCGGGGGCGTTCTTTTTTCATTATGGTGGAATACATGCCCCGGTCAGCCGGTCAGCCGGTCAACCGGTCAGCCGGTCAGCCGGTCAGCCGGTCAGCCAGTCAGCCGGTCAACCGGTCAGCCGGTCAGCCGGTCAGCTCACCCGGTCAGCCGGTCAACCAGTCAGCCGGTCAACCGGTCAGCCGGTCAACCGGTCAACCGGTCACCCGGTCACCCGGTCACCCGGTCACCCGGTCAAACGGTCAGCCGGTCAACCGGTCAGCCGGTCACCCGGTCACCCGGTCACCCGGTCAACCGGTCAGCCGGTCAACCGGTCACCCGGTCACCCGGTCACCCGGTCACCCGGTCACCCTGTCAGCCGGTCAGCCGGTCAGCCGGTCAGCCGGTCAACCGGTCATCCGGTCATTTGGTCACCAGGTCAGCCTGTCATCCGGTCAATTGTTCCGCGTGCCGGTCAACCGGTCAGCTGGTCAACCGGTCAGCCCGTCAGCTGGTCAGCTGATCAACCGGTCAACGGGTCAACGGTTGAGTGCCGGTCTGCCAGTCCGGTAATTTTGATGATGACGACGACGATGATGGTGATGATGTCGATGATGAGCCAGAGGGATGATGACCACGACAAGGAGGATGTGAGGATGTGGTCGATGTGAATGCTGATGATGAAGGTGGTGCTTATAATGATGAGAGCGATGATGATGACGACGATGACGATGACGATGACGATGAAGATGATGATGATGATGATGATGATGATGATGATGATGATGATGATGATGATGATGATGATGATGATGATGATGATGATGATGAAGATGATGATGAGTATGATAATGAGTATGATGATGATGACGATGATGATGACGATGACGATGACGATGATGATGATGATGATGATGATGATGATGATGATGATGATGATGATGAGGATGAGGATGAGGATGAGGATGAGGATGAGGATGAGGATGAGGATGAGGATGATGAGGAGGATGATGATGATGATGATGATGATGATGATGCTGATGACGACGATGACGACGATGATGATGTGGAGGAGGAGGAGGAGGAGTTTGATGATGATGATGCTGCTGATGATGATGATGATGATGATGATGATGATGATGATGATGATGATGATGATGTGGAGGAGGAGGAGGAGGAGGAGGAGGAGGAGGAGGAGGATCGCGCATGATACCACAATCGTCCCCTTCACACACACACATATATATATATGTATATATATATATATATATATATTGTGCCTGTGCTGGGGCTCCCTCGGGGCTCTTTTGGGGCGCCCTTCTTTTCTGTTGAGGTGTTGGGTTCCTATGGGGCTGTTTTCAGTGTCTTCGGCCGTGGGGTACTTTTGACTGGCCCTCGGAGTCTCTGGAAAGCCTCTTGGGGGATCTTGGAGAGCATCGCTCACCCAAGGCGGGTGTTCGAGCGCCGCCCCCCACTGAGGGGCCTTCTACATCCTTGCTCGGAGCTACCTGGGTCACTTTGCTCCTTGTGGGAGCCGCCTTCGCGTGGACCTATGGGTCCAATTACATGAGGTTTTGCGAAGGGCCGGCTGTTTCTCAGATGAGCCAGGGCGCTCCTCCCCCGACGTTGCTCCCTCAGGGAGGGTGGTCTCGCATAGGTTTCCTCCTCGGAATCCGTGCGGTTCCGTGAAGGTCTGCCATGTTTTTAGGAGGAACCTTGGGTCCACGTGTTTTCCTGTGGAC